CCAGATTAACACTCTTTCAATATATAAATAAAATATGGTTTGAATTTTTATGTCTGGTTATTTTTTTAAAAAGTTTTAAAAATTAATTTTGATCGTTGCATCCTGCACCCCCATTATTGTCTTTTCCCTCTTTTTCCATTTCACTCCAGCTATTAACTTTCACCCTTTCTACCTTCCTTCTTCCTTTTCTTTCCCCATTCCTCCCTCTCCTTTCTGACTCTTTCCCTTTATTTTTCTCTATTCTTATCCTTCACTCCTTGCATTTTTATTCCTTTCTTTCTTCTGTTGTGAAGATGGATGAGATAATTTTGATATTATAGTATTATTTTGGATTGAGAAATGAATAAAGTGCTATTTGCATCATTATCTTTGGTGTAACTTCACTTTTTTTCTTGAAAATACACCTGCAAAAATTTCTGTATTTTAATTTTCTCAGAAACCTTGTCAGACTTAACCTTGCTAAATAAAATAAATCTGCCTTGTTCTTCCTCTGTGTTCCTTTTTAAGTAATGACATAATTTTAAACAATGATGTCACAATTAACTGATATTTGCCTTTATCTCATTAAAATACTCTTATTATAATCCATGATCTCAAAACTGCTCTTAGTAGCTGGCAGAAAGATGTTACACATTTGTAAAACTCTTTTCAAGGACATTTGCTATAATACAGGAAGGAAAAAAGTGAGAGCTTTGTAGTTGAAGGAAGAAAGTTAGTACTATGGCTTCATTCTGATTTATTCTATTTTTAAACAATTTATTTGGTTAGATGACCAAATTAAAGAAATAATTGAACACACAAAAGCCACTGACAAATGAATGGATGAATATTTATTGTCTTACCAGAAGAATTTAATCCAAATGAAGAGAAGGAAGACAAACTAGAACCATGAGAGGTTTAATCCATTTTGTCCTTCTGATTATTTTGCATGTTCTGGAGACACAGGAGATCCATCTATCCTCTCTTAAACTGGAGCACAACAGGCAAATCCTTTCCAATTTCTGTGCCACAATTCCTCATTTGTATAATAAAAATAGAGGAAGTGATATCTCATCAAACTACCAAGTGGTTATTCCAAAAAGTGTATAAAGTTTCCAAAAAGGGGGCATTTGTACTGGTGGAATGGGACCAGAAGATACCTAGAGGGGGAGCTGAGCATCTGATGTCAGAGTCCTAAGCTCCTGCCAGGACTGCCAAGAGCAGGTACAGCTGTCATGGATCAGGCCTCACCCTGCACAGCCACACCCTGGCCTTGGCCAATCTGTTCACAGGGACAGGGAAGGCAGGAGCCATGGCTGGGCATAAAAGGCAGGGCAGTGTCAGCTGCTGGTTATACTTGCTTCTGACACAGTCGTGTTCACTAGCAACCCAGAAACAGACACTATGGTGCACCTGTCTAATGAGGAGAAGGCTGCCGTCACCAGTCTGTGGGGGAAGGTGAACGTGGAAGAAACTGGTGGTGAGGCCCTGGG